ATTCAGAATATTTTTTTTCTTTTTCTTCTTTTTATTTTTGTGAAACAGTATCTCATTTTGTCATCCTGGCTGGAGTATAGTGCTGTGAACTTGGCTCACTGCAGCCTCAACCTCCTGAGCTTAAGCGATCCTCCTGCCTCAGCCCCCCAAGTAGCCGGGACTATAGGCACACACCACCACACCTGGCTAATTTCTTTATTTTTTCATAGAAACAGGGTTTCGCCATATTGCCAAGGCTGATCTCAAACTCAAGCTCAAGTGATCCATCAACCTTGGCCTCTCAAAGTGCTACAGGTGTGAGCTGGGTACTACTGCGCCCAGCTGATACTAAGAATTCTCGTACATGTCCTTTGGTACACATACGTATGTGTTTCTTTTGAGTTTCTAGGAATACAATATCTGTGTCATAAAATATACATATGTTCAACTTAGTAGAGCCTCTGAAGTAGTTTTCCAGAGTGGTTGTAACAAGTAGCACTCCCACCAGCAGTGTATGAGATGAGAGCTCTAGTGCTTCACATCCTTTCTGGCACTTGATAGTATATAAGTCTTTTTAATTTAGCCATTCTGGTAGGTGTGTAGTGGTCCCTCATTGTGGTTTTAATTTGCATTTTCCTGGTAACTGATGATTTGAGCACCTGTGTTTATTGATCTCATCTCACTGCAACTTCTGCCTCCCAGGTTGAAGCGATCCTCCTGGCTAGGCCTTCTGAGTAGCTGGGACTACAGATGCTCACTACCATACCCAGCTATTTTTGTGTTTTTAGTAGAGACAGGGTTTCACCATGTTTGCCAGACTGGTCTCAAACTGCCAACCTCAAGTGATCTGCTCGCCTCAGCCCACAAAGTGCTGGGATTACAGGCGTGAGCCACCGTGCCCGGCCTATCTGAGGACTTTTTAAATATCAAAATAGTTCTTTATTTACAGAAAAGTTGCAAAAATAGAGTTCCCATAAACCATTCACCAGGTTTCTCCTGTTGGCATCATCTTACATTAGTGTAGTACATTTCTCGTAGCTGGAGAATCAATATTCCTTTAGCACTTTCAATATGTTGTCCCACACTTTGTGGGCCTGTAAGGTTTCCACTGAGAAGCTTGCTGCCAGATGTGTTAGAGCTCCTTTTTGTGTTATTTTCTTCTTTTTTCTTGCTGCTTTTAGATATCCTTTCTTTATCCTTGACCTTTGAGAGTTTGATTAATATATGCCTTGAAGTAGTCTTATTTGGGTTGAATCTTTTTGGAGTTCTGTGACCTTCTTGTACCTGGATATTTATATCTTTCTCTAGGTTTGGGAAATTGAGTTATTCTTTTGAATAAACTTTGTGCCCCAATCTCTTTCTCTCTCTACGTTTTCTCTAGGTCCAGTAACTCAGATTTACCCTTTTGACCAGACAGGCACAGTGGCTCACACCTATAATCCTAGCATTTGGAGAGGCCAGGGTGGACAGAGCACTTGAGGTCAGGAGTTTGAGACCAGCCTGGCCGACATGGTGAAACTTCATCTCTACTAAAAATACAAAAATTAGCCAGGCATGGTGGTGTACGCCTGTAATCCCAGCTACTTGTGAGGCTGAAGCAGAAAACCCAGGAGTGAAGGTTGCAGTGAGCCAAGATACTCCCACTGCACTCCAGCCTGGGTGACAGAATGAGATTCTGTTTCAAAAAAAAAAAAAAAGAAAAAAAAAGATTTACCCTTTTGAGGCTGTTTTCTAAATCTTGTAGGCATGTTTCATTCATCTTTTTTTTCTTTTTTTCTCCTCTATTTTTTTTTCAGTTGGAGTCATGCTCTCGCCCAGGCTGGAGAGCAGTGGCACCATCTCAGCTCACTGCAACCTCTGCCTCCCGGGTTCAAGCAACTCTCCACCTCAGCCTCCGGAGTAGCTGGGACTACAGGCACCTGCCACCACGCCTGGCTAATTTTTGTATTTTTAGTAGAGATGGGGTTTCTTTTTTTTTTTTTTTTTTTTTTGAGACGGAGTTTCGCTCTTGTTACCCAGGCTGGAGTGCAATGGCGCCATCTCGGCTCACCGCAACCTCCGCTTCCTGGGTTCAGGCAATTCTCCTGCCTCAGCCTCCTGAGTAGCTGGGATTACAGGCACGCACTACCATGCCCAGCTAATTTTTTGTATTTTTAGTAGAGACGGGGTTTCACCATGTTGACCAGGATGGTCTCGATCTCTTGACCTCGTGATCCACCCATCTTGGCCTCCCAAAGTGCTGGGATTACAGGCTTGAGCCACCGTGCCCGGCCCATTTATTGAACTTTCTTAAGGACAGGCATTTTGAATTCTCTGTCTGAATTCTGTGTCACTCTCCAGTTGGTCACTGGTGCCTTATTTGGTTCATTTGATGAGGTTGTGTTTTCCTGGATGTTCTTGATGCCTGTGCACATTGATCAATGTCTGGGCATTGGAGAGTAAGGTATTTATTCCAGTCTTGGCAACCTGAGCTTGTTTGTACCCGTCCGTCTGGAGAACGCTTTCCACACATTTAGATGAGATTGTTGTGATATAAGCTTGTGGTGGCTGCAGATGTATCAGCACTAGGGAGCGCCCTAAGATCAGGAACGGTATGACTCTCACCAACTCCAAGACACACTGCTTTGATGGGCTTGGGCAAGATAGGGAGAATCTCTGGGTTGCTAGGCAGTCTCACTCTCTTCCCTCTCAGAAGGACCCTGCCTCTGTGCTGGGTTGCATGGAGTTGGAGAAGGTGATTCAAGCACCCCCATAGCCACCCCAACTGGCACTGCACAAGTTCAGACCTGAAGACAACACAGTACTGGGTCCTACCCAAGGCCCATGGTGACTGCCTGGCTATCACCAATGTTTACTTAAAGTCCAGGGGCCAATTAGTAGGTAGTGAATCTTCCTGGGTCTGGGTCTTTCCCTTCAGGGCACCAGACTCTCTTCTGGCCTTCTCTTCCAGACCCCTGGGTGGACCTGGAAAGCCATTCAGGAGCAAAGTTCTGGAATTGAGGGCTTCAGGATTCTTCCTGCTTTATTTGCCTGTGGCTGAGCTGCCACTCAGGTTTTAAGACCAAGTCCTCTGTGCTCTTTCCTCTCCTTTCCCCGAGTGGAAGGAGCCTCTCCCCAAGCTGCCCTGCCTGGAATTGGAGGACTGGTGGTACAGGCACTCCCTTTTCCACCACAGCTGGTGTCACACGGGGTCATGTGCACCCCAAGTCCACTTCCTCCTAGGCCAGCGCAGTTCTAGGGCTTGTTCAAGGACTGCAGTCCCTGTAGCCTGACTGCCACTTTTATTTATTCAGGACCCCAGGCCACCTTGGTTAGATGGTGGCAGAACCAGCTAGGACTCTGCTTCCTCCCACTCTGGTTGAGGATTCTCCTCTGGCCCAGAGCTGATCGAAATGCTCTGTCCATGGGTACCAGCAGAATTCTGCTCCGTGTTGTGCTGTGCTGTGACACGGCAGCAGTGAGTTCCAATGCAAAGTCCCACACCCTCTCCCTCGCCAACGTGCACAGATTCTCTCTCCAAGCTGGTGTGCCAGAGGTGGGGGGGGCGGGCGTAGACGATGCAGGACCCTCTTTCCCACCCTCTTCAGTGCCTCTTTCCTTGATATGATGTGAAAAGCAGGTACTATGATTGCATACCTGATTTTGGGTTCTTATGAAGGTGCTTCTTTGTGTGGATAGTTGTTCAATTTGGTGTTCCTGTGGAGGGCCATTTGTTAGAGGGTTCTATTCAGCTGTCTTCCTCCCCAAGGGTTTCCCAAGCATCAATATTGATACAATATCATTAACTAAAGTCCATGCTTTATTTAGGTCAGTACCATTCATTTTTGACAAATGAAAGTGCCATTGAGGAATGCTTTGGGATCACATATTGTTAAATAAACGTCAAGTAAAAATAACTGAAAGTCCATTGTAGTAAGAGTTAGCTGTCTTTGGTCTCACCTCATGCTGGAGAACTCAGAAAGACTCAAATAGTGTGGTCCTGTGAGACCACTGGGCAGCAAGTATGGAAATCCTGCAATGAAAAGCCCTCTACCTTTAACTCAAGTTTTAGTCTAAAACTCTCATCCCTTATTTTGAAAATCCTGCCCTTTTCTGTTCCGGAACTCTTGAAACCCCTGAGTTTTGGACTCTTTAGTCACGTAGATTTCAGTTTTGTAATCTTTTTTTGAGACAGAGTCTCCCTCTATCACCCAGGCTGCAATGCAATGGCACAATCTCCACTCACCGCAGCCTCTGCCTCCCAGGTTCCAGTGATTCTCCTGCCTCAGCCTCCTGAGTAGTTGGGATTACAGGCGCCAACCACCACACTTGTCTAATTTTTGTACTTTTAGTAGAGACAGGGTTTCACCATGTTGGCCAGGCTGGTCTCGAACTCCTGACCTCAGGAGATCCACCCTCTTCAACCTCCCAAAGTGCTGGGATTACAGGCGTGAGCCTCCATGCCTGGACCTAATTATGTAATCTTTAACCAATGTTTGAAATATGTTGATGAGCAGCTTCTAGAACTGATATAAACGTCAGCTACCATGGGGAGGGAGCGCTCACTGTGCCCACTGGCCTTGGATGTGAGTCTGAAGAGCCAGATCCCTGATTCAGTGTCCTCTCCCCTCCTCAGCTTGGTCCTAGAGAGTGTCACCACAATCCCTAGTTGTGAGGAAACCAAGACAGAGACATGGAGATGACTAGACCTTTCACTTCTGTTTCTCCTGTCTCTTGCCACTGCCAAACTCCCCAGTGACAAACGTCAGTGGTGCCAATGTGTTTGAACGTGTCCCTGATAGTCTTAACTATTTTTACTTTTTAACTTAAAGTGCAGACTAAGCCCTAGTGGCCATCTGTCATTTTGATAACAGATATTTAAATTATAGTGAGAAAGCCAGGAAGGCCAGCCAGCCATCACTGTTAATATTTTAGGAAAAATTCTCTCCTGTTCAACCCAACCATCACCTATACCCTGAAGAACACTTTTATAGCTGACATAATGGTCCTGATGTACACGTCTTTGCCCTGCTTCTCCTCAGTACCATGAGCTCCCGACACTCTGCCAGCCCAGTGGTTTTCACCAGTGCCCGCAGTTCACCTAAAGAAGAGCTTCATCCAGCCGCCTCCTCGCAGCTCGCACCGTCCTTCTCCTCCTCCTCCTCCTCCTCCTCTGGTCCTAGAAGTTTTTACCCTCGCCAGGGCGCTACTAGCAAGTACCTAATTGGATGGAAAAAACCTGAAGGAACCATAAACTCTGTGGGATTTATGGACACGAGAAAGTAAGAGTTATTTTGCTTCCTTGCTGGTGGCTTGCTTTTAACATGACAACAGAAAAGTGTGGAGTGATCTCTTACAACAAAAGAGGCCAGGCCAGGGGGTTGGGAGGAGTTGGTCTGTTGGTGGGATTATTTTTTTTCCTAAGTAAAATTTTCTTAAATTATTTCTCTTCCTCATTCCTTAGATAAGATGTGTTGCAAAATGTTAGGATTTAGGAATCTTACGTCTTGAAAAGGGTGTGTTTGAAGGATACACTTCAGAATAATTGCCGCTCTAGTGCTAAGACCATACTAATCCAACCTTTGATTATATGAATCACAGCCTTCCCATGTAATTCTTAACTAGGCCAGTAGGCACCAGAGGGAATATTAGAAAGTGAGTGAGTACCCCTGAAAATAAAGGCCTTTTTGACAAGGTAGTACAGTAAAAAATTAAATGAGTCAATTAGTTTGTTTTTGTTTATGCGAAGTTTGCATTTTGGATGTATACTCTGTGGTCTTTTAGTAAGTCTGTTGGTAATTTTGGCTTAGTAAAACTAATAGCTTTCTTTAAAAGAATGACTTATTCATCAGATTTTATTTTGTGTTTCAAATTGTGTTTGTTTCTTCAGTAAGCATTTATATGAGTAGATTCTGATATAAACAGAACTAATTATCTGTTTCTCCACATAATACTTCTCAATTGACTTACATCCTTGGGAGCCCATCGTGTCTGAGTCAACCTTGTTGACTTGGTATCTATCTTCTCTTCCCTTTCTTTTCAGGCGTCACCAGAGTGATGGCAATGAAATAGCCCATACCAGGCTGCGTGCCTCAACCAGAGACCTCCGGGCATCTCCTAAGCCAACCTCCAAGTCCACCATTGAAGAAGATCTAAAGAAACTGATCGACCTTGAAAGCCCAACTCCTGAATCACAGAAGAATTTTAAGGTACAAGACAGAGTTCAGGGTAGATGGCAATTAGAAACGAGCCAGACCTGATGGGGCTGTTAACCATAGTCACACTTTCCAGAAAGTGTTCATTACTACTGCTCTTCACTGAGTCTCACTGCCTGCTATCATCCCATTTCCCCGATAACTAGTCCACAGTGCTTGACAATGCTCTGTCCCTGCAGCCACGTCTCATTAGTCATGGTTTCTGTTAACCTGGTCCTAACCCTACCGCTATTGATTCTTGTACTGTATCCTGCTCAGAGTGCATGATTCCCTGAACATCACTTAGGTGATACGGCTTCTTAGAAACTCTGCAGAGACGCCTGTGGCTCCTGTGGAAAGCTAGAACTTTTTCCATAAGGGCTTTAGTGTCTTCTTTCCAGAGGTTCCTCCTCTTCTCAGAAATGGCCTCGTTTCCTAGTGACCGTGTCCAGCAAACCTCTGGGCCCTACATGGTGTGCTCTTCACTCAGAGAAACTGCCTGTAGTGGTCACTGTCATCATCACACCCTAAAAGGAAACATACAGTTGCTTCTTCAGTCCAGCAGTCTAAGTCTATCCACACACCTTCAGAACGTTCCAGACCCTCCTGACTTCATACAGCCTTCTGTTTTGCTCTCCGAATTCCAGACTATAAATGTCTTCAGTCTCTAAAATTCAGTCTCTGTGTACCAAGTCCTGAATACCTATCCAGCGTGTACGTTTGTGTGTCATCCAGACCTTTATGTGACCACATGGAAAAGTTGGTGTACTCGCCACAGCTTGTAGGGCCGTTAAAACTCGCCTACGGCTGTCTCCTTTCTGGTCTTCTAAGTGTGGAGTCTTACACTCCTGAGGATTGGAATGGGTGTTTATTGAGCCGGACCTGAAGGTATGTCACTCTGAGTATGGTTATTTCTGTCTGAGGTTTTCTGGGTCTCCTGGCAGAAGGGACCGTACCCCCAGAAAGATGATGGCAGCAAACTTTGAAGTTTTCTGTTCTCTAGGTTCTTAGATGGATGATTTGGAGTCTATTTGAAGAGACTAGAAAGCTTTAAGAAGAACTTTGAGAATTGAATTGATTGAAATGGAAGCTAGAAGCTAGAATATTTCCTAAACCACACACCAGCTTCAAACTGATCAGAGTGCAAGAGGCGTGGTGGGCTGGAGCAGCTGTGTGGGGGTGTAGCCTTCAGGCTTTCCCAGCACCATGCTAGCATGTGTGTGCATGTGCATGCATCTCCTAGATAGGCCAGATAAACCCCTAACCCAAAAAATCAACATTCCTAGGAACTGAATATACCCCCAAGGACCACTCTAGGATCTTGCTGAGAAATAAATGATTTATTAACATGGCTTATGTTAATAAATCATTGTACAGATGTAGCCATTCTTGATTTCTGTAATTTCTGTCTCATAAGCCGGCATTTAACAGTTCTGACTCATCATTCAGGGCATAAATGGTTTCCTTAGCAACCTTGTGAAAGATAGTGCTTGAAACTTCTTTCTTTATCCATCAAAACCCAGAGAGGTATATTAAAATGTTTAAGCACCAGTTTCAAAATAAAAATTATTTCAGATGTTTCCTTTGAGGTTAAAGGAAAATAAAACCTGCCTTGAATGGAGTTTTTCTTCCAATTGCTAGTTTAATATTTTTGGCAAGAGGCAAGCTCAGAGCCTTCATTCTTTTGATTTACTTATGCAGTAGAAATAGTTGAAGGCAAATGTCTGATTTTGTCCTTATTCGAGGTCTTGGCTTTTTATTTCCAAAATGAATTACTTTAGCATTCCTATTTGAAACAGGAGTGTGCTTTCTTTATGTTGTGACTGTGTTACTGTGAGACTCTGTGAAGAAAGTGCTTCTGCTGGCTAAACCGTCACAGTGAGAAGGCTGTAAGCAGCAACTGGGAATGGGCTCAGGTTTTCTCTCTCCAGTTTCATCTTCTTTGAGCAGGTTTAGTTTCAGATGAGTTCAGCTTAGTAGCTCCCTTTGCCTTCTGAGAGTCATCATCTGAATGATGGAGGCTCTGCTGTGTCAGTAAGGCCGGCATGCCCTTGAGAGGTCTTCCAGGCCACTCCTGGCTCAAGGCTCCAAGCTGCTGCTTCAGGCTTCAGGGTAGTAGGCATCGTGGCCAGCTCTGGGCTATGACACTCCGAAGCCACTTGTGTGCTATGCTGGTTTTCCTGGATAGCCAGTGCTATGAGCTTTTGTTAATATCGAGTGGCAGGGTCACTCCCAGGCTCATTCGCCAGCAGAGAATGGACCTCAAGAACAGTGGCAGAGCTGCAGCACTCTGAGAAACCTCACTGGCAAGCAGAGATGGGATAACCTTATTTTCCCCAAGGATGGCATACAGTCTGACAAGTGAACAGACAGTAGTGCCAGTGTTCTCAGGGATATACCAAAGGAAGAGGCTTCGTGTGTCTCCAGTATTTAGGAAGAGCTTCTTGTGAGTGCAGGTGACACGTGTCACTATAGCCAGAGGCACTGAAAAGAATGAGAGAACAGGAGACTGGCATGAAGCAAAATGCCACCTCTCCAGGCCCTGTTCCTCAACTGTGAGATAGAGGACCAGAGGAGACCAGTGGTGCCCCACTAGTCTTAAAGCTCAGGAAGCCTTTTTGTTTTTTTCATCACACATGGAACCACATTATATAGAACTCAGAAAGCAGAATTTCTCTTGTGGGAGGGGCGGGATGGCCTGGACTCCTGGGTCCCACCTGAACCTCTCCCTAGCAGTGGTGCTATAAGAAACCCTTAGACTCCTTGGAGCACAAGTTAGAACCAACCCCCTTCCCGAATGTCCTCTGAAATCCCTTCCAGGTCTGCCATCCCACTCCACTGTCATTCTTTCCCAAGGGCTGGCAGCACCGGGCAGCACTCCCGGGTAATCACAGGCAAGGCAGGCAGGGGCTGCTCTTGGGAAGTGGATAGTTCCGTACAGCTTTAAGACTGGAGTTGAAAAGGATGGGGCGAGGGGCCGTTCCAGCATTCTTGGACAGGGCTGGGTTCTTCTACCTGTTAATGAGCAGCATGCCTCCAGGCAGGTTGCTCCCTTTGCTTCCTGTCCTGCCTCCCTTCAGTGCAGGGTGTTTTAACTTCTCCTAAGAAGTTTCTTTTGTCTGCTCAAAGGAGCCCTTCCAGGTAGCTGTTCATGGCCTTGAAGCATATTAACATTTCCTAAAGAGGCTGAAACTAGAATTGGTGGAGGATTTCACACCTGTGAAACCATCAGGGTGGGGATACTGGAAAAGGAAATCCCTTTACTAAAACCTGAGGTGCTGAAAACTATTTAGCAGCAGTTTTTTCAATACAGGAATCTGAGCTCTGACCTGGCAGGCAGGAGCCTTATGTGATAGTCCTAGAACCTTGCAGGTGGAGATGTTTTTATTTGGTTTTATTTTTAATCTGGTTTTATTTTTTAAGAAAATTACAGTCAGCAAGCCATATAATGGCTCTAATGCACACTTTTCTCCACAAAGAGAGAAGGGAAATTGTCACTTTCGTTCCAAGTTCTCTCAAAGCATTTAGCACAGCAATTTAGTTTTCTAGACAAGTACATATGTACCTTGGATTTAATTCATCATGAATCTTTTAAAGTAAACATAATTTTTACCCAATTGGTCACACCTTGGTTATATTCACAATGTGTTTGATTAATCGTCTTTTGGTATTTATGCAGCAGCTGTGCCTACCACACTGAGGGTGGCTTAGACCTGATTCACTCCTGGCTCATTGTGTGGAAGCATGCTAGGCCCTGTCTATCCACTGTGGATTTCTGGGTCTGTAATCAGCCCACTAAATGGAGCATTTGCTAAATTGTTCTCTCTCCCTGCCCCTTCAGAGTGTCAGGGGAAGTCCCAGGGTGGCTTTCAGCCAGCAGGGACAGCCTCTTCACATCTTCACCTGCTCTCCACATTGTTTCGCCTATAGGGGCAGACGGTGGCCTCAGAGGAACTGAGTAATGATAACTTTATTGTTCATGGGCCAAATGCTCTTTTACTCTTCAGGTTGCTGGATATTTAAATATTTTTAAGTGTCTCCTGTTCTTCAGTGCAAGGGATTTTCAGAAGCTTGCTATTTCCAGAAAAAAAATCTCAAGTAGAATCAAATTTGGTCACAAAGGCAAAAGGTGTCAATAAGAGAGAGATCTCTCTGGAACTATTTGTCATGTATAGATAAATGTATAATTATTTGTCATTTATAAAGCAGACTTCCCTCTTATTTGTTTATTTATTCTTTTTATGCGACAGAGTCTCGCTCTGTCACCCAGGTTGGAGTACAGTGGCGCGATCACAGCTCACTGCACCCTCCGCCTTCCAGGTTCAGGCGATTCTCCTGCCTCAGCCTCCCGAGTAGCCTGGGATTACAGGCGCACACCACCACAGCTGGGTAATTTTTGCATTTTTCTTAGAGACAGGATTTCACCATGTTGGCCAGGCTGGTCTCGAACTCCTGACCTCAAGTGATCTGCCCACCTCAGCCTTCCAAAGTATTGGGATTACAGGCATGAACCACTACGCTCAGCCTACCCTATTCTTAGTTCATGAATAGAAGTGCATCTTCAAGAAATAAATTTTCTCCAAAACTCATGAAATGTATCTACCTTGATAGGTTCAGTTGGTTTAAGTTAGTAGTTAATCAAGTGCTACCTGCTATGTGAGTTAATGTATTTTGATGATCAAATACCCTTGTTGCCCAGCAAGCATGTTATCATCTGACAAGCTTGTCAGGATACCTCCTGGCACTGTGGCTGTCTGTTCTCCCAGGGGCCATAACATCATTTCATCATGCCGCTGATACCAGCCATTGTCCTCATCCCAGCATTTTGTTTAATCCCTGCGGTAATCCTGAGAGGTTTTGTGCTCCCGTTTTACAAATGAGGAATTAGGCTCAGAGAGATTGTATGATTTGGTCAAAGACATGGGATTCAAATAAAACTCACATCTGTCTGATCTTAAAGTCTTGTTTTTAACCACATACGGTCTTGATAGGTCCACTTAATCACACACCTGAATCACATAGGGAGCACTGATAGACCGCAGGCAGCATGCCAGGCTATGAGGAATAATGACCAGGAACTCTTGGGTTAGCTCCTTGCGGATGTAGAAATACGTGATGGGCCCTGAAGCTGCCTTGCTGGAGGTGTGTCGGGAGCAGTAACTTGGTTACACACCCTCCCCCAACCTTGGTCTCAGGGATCTGAACGAAAAAATTGACTTTCTTTTGTCTCGATGCTGTTTTTCAGTTCCACGCACTCTCCTCTCCTCAGTCTCCTTTCCCCAGCACCCCCACCTCGCGGCGGGCCTTGCACAGAACACTGTCGGACGAGAGCATTTACAGTGGCCAGAGGGAGCACTTTTTCACCTCGAGGGCTTCACTTCTGGACCAAGCCTTGCCCAACGACGTCCTCTTCAGTAGCACGTACCCTTCTCTCCCCAAGTCTCTCCCGTTGAGAAGGCCTTCTTACACCTTAGGAATGAAGTCGTTGCATGGTAAGTGGTCTTTCAGCTGCAGCCTGGACAGCCCTGTTGATGATGGTCAGTGTCCCCAGATGTGGCTGCCACTCAGTGTGCTCAGAGAGGGGTCCTGTATCCATGCTCAGATGGTCTCGGCGCACCTGCCCCTCCCTTATTAGCCCTCTCTCCCCTGTAATCCCATACCGCCATAGTCACCTGGGTTGCTTGCTAGAAATAACAGAGTCCCACACTGGACCCAGGACCCACTGAATTTGAATCCCCAAAAGAGTAGGCTGGGAATTGATATTCTTAGCAACCATGCCAGCTGCTGTTATGATTGAGCAAATTTGGCTAGCACTAGATTAGTTATTTCATAGAGAGTTGTATCCACTGCTTTCTATAGCCACCATAAGAACCCAGACTTGCCATTGCTCTTGGTCTTTCCCAGACTGTAAGAAAATTGCCTGTGGTGTCAAGCATTCATTTGTTGACTCATTTACTCATGCAGTGAGCCAGGCAAGCATTATGTAAGGAAAAGCCCTGTGGATAAGGGGTACCTCCATATTCTTGCACCTGGTCCACATATGCCTTGTTTGCTTTGTGACCCAACTAAATCCCAGTTTTATTACGGGCCATTTTCTGGGACTCTAGATTTAAATTTGGTCTTTCCCTTTGTCCTATCTCTGTCCCACTCCATTCCAGGGCTCTATACATCCCCTCACAGCTGTGGCCCAGCACAGCAGATGCCTGTCACGAACCGGTGTTCTGATTATTTACCAAACACGCTGCTGTCACCCTGCCTCCCATCTGTCCTTTTTCCTTTTGCGAGTTCTGCAGCTTTTATATCTCTGGTGTCCATTCATACCCATGTTTCTTTTCCTTCTGCTGCTTCTCTGGAACGGTATTTTCTTTACATCTCTTGCTTTCCCTGCCTTATTTTTGACCTCTCAGTCCATGCTCATGGATGTTCCTCCCTGTCTGCCCTGCTCACTGCTCAGCAGCACACTCCCACCCATCCTGCTCATCCCTGGGAGGAATCATGCAAGGATCATGCCAGCTTCCCCTGCTCCCTCCCCTATCTACCTGCAGCTTAAATCTGGGTTCTCTTTGCTCCAGGAAGTCACCTCGAATGAACCACGGTTGGCACATGAAATGACCACGTTTTATCATCAGACTCCAGAACAAGCCTTCTGGAAGTGATCTCTTGCCCTTAACCTTGTTCTCTCCTTCTCTCCCCGCATCGGGGTCACTCTTCCCTGAATTCCATTATTTCTACAATTTCCTGCCTTACTTTGATTGCTCTCGTATTTCCTGTACTTTTAATTTTACCTTTGCAGTGTAAAAACAGTAGCCCCTTTGTGAAGTCTTCTCTGCATGTGTCATATCAGAGTAGGCCCTGAGTAGTGGAAGCCTACATTCTGAAAGAGCAGCCCAGAAATCTGCCCCCAACACATGATCATTGTCCGGACGAGGATTCCGGGGACCAAAAGCCCCATGTGAGTCCACCGCTGAAGGAAGGAACCTTGCAGCCCTCTCTGAGCCCCTTGCCATCACCTTTTCTTGTTTTCCTGAATGAGGCGGCAGCTGCAGTGATTTCACATCCTACCCAAGCAGTCCTCATTGGGCTGATCCCTCAGCCCTGCCTTGCTTGGCGACTTCCACTGAAGTGTGTTTGGGGAATGAGGAAGGGTGACTTATTTTATCCCCCACATGGAAATTTGGACCCCAGAGATAAAAGGGCAAAAGGGTTGTGAGTGACAACAGAATTATCTGTTCCTCCTACTTACCCTTGGTGGGAGCACATTTAATTAAAACTGAACATTTAATATTTCGCAGTATTTGTTAACTTCCATTTACTCATAATTTTGCTACTTTTAAGCACAGTAACAACTAGCAGCTGTATTTCAGAGCAGTTTTTGTAATTTGAAAGGGAAAACAAGCACTTAATATACTAGCTTACTGGGCTGTCTTAATACATGAGACTTTCTAACTCCTTGTAAACAGGTCTTTTTAAAGTCACTTAAATATTCTAGCTGAGCATTTAGCTTTAGCTGTGTGTTTGCATGGACCTGAGTGTTGCAGTCACCTTCCGAGGGTGCTCCCTCTTATGGGGTAGTGTGCTCTGCCCTTGGTTCACCCAGCTTATGCCCATGGAGGGCATTTCTATGTCATGAGCGACGCTTTCCCTGGCCCCCAGCATGCCACCCTTCCTGTTGTCTGGCTGCACAAACCTGAGCAGTAGCAGCTGCCTTTAGTGGCACAGGGTGGCTCACTGCCCAGTCCTCCCTGCTCCCTGCCCCAGGCTAAACAGAGCTTAGTTGTTAAGATGTCAGTTTCTTGTTAACATTTGTTTAGTATTTGTATTCAACAAATTGTCCCCTTAGGAAGAGCTCGGGATGTTAGACTGCTGCAACCCAAAACTGATCCAAAGAATACCTCGTGAGGACTACATCCTTGGGAAGAATAATGCCAGTTCCATCCCTAAAATCACCTTCCTGTCTTAGCTCTGTCTGTGGAACCCGGCACACTCACATCCCCTGATTTGCCTCTCACACCCGCTTGGATACCTTTGACCATGAAACCCAGTGGGCTGCTCCTGAATAGTACACAGGCAGGCATGGGCCATCTGTCCCTCACCACTCCCAGGCCAGATAAAAATAAGCCTTATTGTCCCCTCTAATAGGAAGAAACATCCCTGGCCTGGCTCCAAAGTCCAGCTCTCTGCTGAAGTAGGCCCCTTCTTCCCAGCCCAAATCCCTGGACTCTGTGTGGGAAAGCAGAGCCAGCACTGCCCGGGCCCTGCTGTGGACACACCACTCACAAAAGCAGACTTAGTGCCTCAGTGCAAAACTAACTTTGCCATGACTCACTGCTGGAAGGGAGATGATGGGAGGCTGTAAGAAAATGAAGACAGACTAGAGGAGGCCCATGTGTATTTCAACTCAGCTTTCAAATGACCACTAACAGCCGGCTAAACTGGACATTGATGACAGTCGTAAATGGCTTACAAATCTATTGTGGTAACAGGAAGTAGGCGGGTTTTGAGTGGCTTTCCCACAGGCATGAGAAGCATCTTGTTGCTCCTCCCTTCTGCAGGGGAATTTTCGGCCTCAGACAGCTCCCTCACCGACATCCAGGAGACACGCAGGCAGCCTATGCCGGACCCTGGCCTGATGCCCCTGCCTGATGCTGCTGCCGACTTGGATTGGTCCAACCTGGTAGATGCTGCCAAAGCCTATGAGGGTGAGTCCACTGAATCCAACAGGGCGGTCCAGGATCCTGCAGAGCCACCCTGTGGTGGGCTGGCGGAGTGAGCAGTCCCTGTCCACTCTGCTTCTCTGGACACACTTACAACATAGGTGCCTCACCAGACAAGCTACCAGTTACTGAGCACTCAGTAGGGATCAAACCCTAGGCTGGACACTAGGCACGTCTTGTGTAATCAGATGCCACCTGGTGTTTCCTCCACAGGATTCATAACATGAATACCTCACCTCCTCCGTATATGGGAAGGGCAGCGGGCAGAGGAATCCCAGCTGTCCCTTGACTGAAAAGAACATGTATCCAGAGAGGGTCTTTCATCACGTCGCAGACATTGTTGCTAAATGCACAGTCAGATACATCACAGTGCTTGTCCTGCTTGGCCCCGCGCCTATCCTGACAAATGTGGGGCACCTCCTTCGCCCCTCTCCTTGTCTCTCCGCTTGCGGTAACACGTTGTCTGCCAGCATTGTCTCTGCCAGCCTACCAGCCATGTGCTCGCATTACACTGGTGTTCTTAAATGCAGGTGCTCACACTGGTGATGATGTTGTCTACTGTCATGAAAACACAAAAGTAGTGCAGTATATGTGTGTTGACATAAGATTGTCAGCTGGGTTTTTTTTCTTTTCTTTTTTGACACCTATGTATAATGAAGACTTTTTTCTTAAGTCTAAAGATCTTTCTAAACTTTCTAGTTCTTAAACATTCTTTACAAAATTATGATAGCAGGTGATTTTTCTTGCTTTTTGTTGTTGTTGCTCTTAATTGGGAGAATTGAGAATTGCTATTTAGTCAAGTTTTAATTTTGAGGGGAATTTACCAGGCCACAGAATCTGTCTAAGTCAGGCACCCATGGAGTGGTCAGCAGTGAATCCTTTTACCTTCATGCCCTTTATTTAGCAGATGGAAATTCCCAGTTCTAACTTGATTTTTCAATATGTTGGTCAATCTCCTTCCTATACAAATGGTAGAAGTTTTGGGTTTTAATGGGAGATTAAATTTGATTGTGTTTTCTTGGCTTAAATTTTAAGTTGATATGTTTGGGAACACAGGTGGTATGGATTTATGTTAAAGCCAACCAGAGTAGCCAGGAATCTTGTGAAAAACAT